TGAGCATGTGGAAGACAAGTGTTCAAACTCAGAGAAATTATGGTCGAAGGATGTGACTAGAGGGCTGAGGAAGGAGAGAACAACTTCCTAATTTTATTCATAGGACTGGTTGTAGTACCAAAACTCGAAAATATCTTCCTTCTGCAAAGCTGTTCAGATACCTTCACCATGAGGAAAGCAACCTCATCTCATCAGTGTCATACATATTCCAGTTTTGTCCCAGAAGTCAGGGTGCATCTGCATGTTTGAAGAGTGATGGTAGAACAACTGCATCCCCTCCCTGGGGATGGAGGGTTCATGTTTGGCACAAGCTTCAGAACTTCAAAGACAGCATCTAAAAGCAAAGCCCAGATAGCTTGAAACGTTGCAGACATGCAAGGAAAAGGCTTTGTGCTAAATCCAGGGATCAGATTCAGTGTCAGCAAGTAAAAAGAAAGTTTCAGGAGGAACATGCTTTCCTCTTGCCCCAAGGTAATGTTTTTTGATTCCTGTGCAGTCAGTGAGCTAGAGCTTTACTGAGACTCTTTGTTGGGGGAGAAACGTGTGAAAGCTGCTGGGAAACAGCTCCTTTCTGTTTGATGCTCATAATTCATGCAGCAAGAGGATTTTGCTGGCAGTGTTTTTTGCTAGAGAAGCAAATAAGAGTGCTAGCTGAAGTGACCTGGGGGTTAGTGGATGACCATATTTATGTCAGTAGTGCAGCCTGGTCCAGGCAGTGGTGACCTTGTGCTGCTGAAGGGCTCTTGAGGGACCAGAGGAATGTGCCAAGTCCCAAACTGGTCAAGCTACAGACCTTGCTATGGGAAAACCAGCATGGGGTGCTCTTCAGGGTAAAGACTATGGGTCCCAAGAGAACCTGTGATAAATCATTTGCATCAGCTTCTAATTCAAAAAGTTTTTACTGTTTGGGATTTTTGTTTGGTTTTTTTGTGGGGACAGGGCAGGAGCTGAGTTAATTCTCCAGGCTTTGTGTTTTACAACTGATTTTTTTTGTTTTGTGTAAATAAGAAATCTGGCATGGTCTGTTTAAAAATGCTGTGGCAGGGTTTTAGACAGCTTCCTGCTTAGGACAGAGCAGTATAAAGTTCAGATCACGGTGCCCTTGAATATCGAACCTGTGGCTTTTATTTATTCTCCTTTTGCTGCTTAGGTTCATTTACATTCAGTAAAATATCATGTTGCTGTGACACTTTACCTGACTCTAAGAATTGCAAGTGTTTGGTTTTTTTTTTTCCCCTTGTTCTTAAATGCTGATTTAAAAGGATGGCAACTCAGAAGCAGTTTGCTGAGTTGAACATTATTCATGGGGTAGTTTGTCTGCAAATCTGTCTGAAATGCTGACAAAGGAATGTCATGAATAGCTTACAAGTCTTCTCCTCGAGGAAGAAACTGTATTTCAAATGATGTGTTCCTGGTTTGTCCATCACTACTGTGCATGCATGGGAAGGCTGTAGGTTATGTCCTTCCAAAGGATATAATTATGTATGTCCTTCTGAATTATACAGCAGAAATCATCAGCATATTGAAACAAGACGTTGCTGTCAGTGGTGTCTGAAGAACAACAGCACAGCAGTGGGTGAGAGGCTTTCAGGTGAACACTTGCACCTCTGACACTTGTCTTCAGTTGGGCATTTTTACAGAGTTAGGATCATTCTCAAAACCTTGAGTAAAAATACCGCTGTTCATCAAATGGTTAAAAATTAGCTTTCTGCACATACAACCTTGCTGGAATGGTTTCACTGCGCTGCCTCCTCTCCATTTTGATAGATGTGTTTGACCAACCTTAGAACAAGTATTTTATATCTGTCTTTACATTTGAAATGAGATTCCTTCCTTTAAAAGTTTGTCTTAGGTATTTGATCAGTGCAGACAAAAATAGATTGCTTTTACAGAGACACTTCGACTTCTTACAGCAGAGGAATTGCTGAGAAGTGAGGAGAGGAGTGGGACTGAGCCCGTGGCTAAAACCAGCTCTAATTGCAGCTGCTCAGCACTGAGACTTTACCCCGAGTAACTGTCTGTCATGAGATGCTGTCCTTGTCCTTCTTGTCTTATTTTGCTCCTGGCGTTTCACAAAGAGAATAATGTCAGTGTCCCGGGAGTGTTCCACTGAGAGACAGAGATCCTGGAGTCTGAAACTTCATTTCTGGCAGAAAGTCTGTCCGTGGCATTGGCTTGCAGTGAACTGCCACGCAGCAAAGTGAAATGGAGGCCATCACGTTTGAAACAGTTCTCTTGCTTTTTTTTTTTTTAATTCTAAAGACGTGTGTGTGAGTGGAAGGGCGAGCTGAGTAATCGCCCAGCCCAGGTCCTTGGGCTGGTGCTGTCACAGCCTGAAGCAGGGCAGGAGCAGAGAGCTGGGTGTCCTCTGCACTGCGTGGGTGGGTGGCTCTCATTAGCCACTGGGTGCTGTCAGTCTCTCCTCAGCTCATCTGGGCTGAGCAGTCACGTTCTGGACCTTTTCCCAGGGCTGCCCTTTGGCTTCTCTGCCTCTTTCAGGACCAGCATGGCACTCGCAGCCAGGCTGCCGTTCTTCCAGGGGAAGGCTGTGTGGTTAGTTCATCCTCACCAGCACAGAGCACTGCACACAGGATGTTCCTGAGCTCCCAGATTTTTGCAGTGCCTTGCCTTGCCTCCCTTCCTTCTCCCACCACCCCTGTGCTGGTTAACCCGTGATCAGGCTCCCGAAGTAGCAGCTTTGCTCTGCGTCAACGCGTCTGCGCAGGGAACGCACTTCCCAGTTTGCTCATATTAATATATATCTGTGGGCTTTTGCCCACTCCAGACTTAGCAGTACTCCAGCATCTCCCATGCTGTTAGCCATCTGTCCTGACAAACACAGTCCCGGGAGCTGTCACAGCCGTTGTGTCCCTTGGCAGGCAGTTCTCTCCGGCAGCAGGAAGACTCTGTGTGTCAGTACTCACGAGGGTGTCCCAAGATGCTCCATCGGGTTCAGGAGCAGCAGCAGGGCAGTATATTCTTACTGCTACCTTCTCAGGTGCAGAGACCATCGCTGTACATCTGCCCTGCCCTCTGCTCTGCCAGCTCTGGCCCTTTGTTTCTGGCTGTAAGCAGCACCCAGCACTTTGGGAGGTGATGGAGAAGGCTCAAAGGGCATCCATGAAAGATTGCAGCCCTATGACAATTTCTGACATCTAATAGTCGGCTTAAGCCTTGATCAAGGTGTTTTAGATCTGTTCCAGTGCTCTCTTTCAGCAGTCCAGCACTGGGTACGCTGGGGGACCTGACAGCCCTTTGCTCCACTGTAGCTGCTCGGTATGTGTTCAGTACTTGAATTAATATTTTCTTCTGTTTTGCATTTTCATTTGACTTTTCAATTCCCTGGACTGCGAGGAAGGGGAATGTTGAATAATTACCTGTTCCATAATGAATTAGTGTGAAAAGGCAACTGGTGCCATGCATCAACTTAAACTGCTGCCTAGTAAAGTTGCATTAATGTGTATAAATAATGTATATCTTTGCAGAGGAAGTGCTTTGTCTTTCTAATGAACAGTTGCCTGATTGGAGAGGCCCAAAGACTGTATATCCTCAGCAGAAAGGTTGTGTTTCACGTGTGCCTGGATGATTAAAGTGAATTCATGATCCTGTAAATGCAACTAGGAGAGATCTTTAGAATATGCTAAGGAACTTCAAAAGACCATGTAAGAAATCAGCTAGCAGAAACCATCTCAGGAAGAGGGATCAAGATTTCTGTATCTTAGTATTATTTTTAAGGACTGATGCAAACTGCCATTAAACTTTCATTTGTTGCCTTGTAGTAGGCAGCAAACATTTCACTGAGTGTTTTGGTTCAGAAGTGGTTTGAAGAATAACCACGACAGCTGACTAATTAACAGCTAAACCAGGACAGCACCACTTGCATGTAACTGAAATAAAAAGATAAGTCACTCAATTATGACATTTGTTGAAAGTCAAAAAAATTGACAGTTCTTTGTGCACAAAAATCCCCACATTATTTTGCATGTTCTTAGCATCCACAGCAGTGGATGGCATCACTGATGGCAGGTGCTGCACAGTCATCCTTGTCCTGCTGCAGTGGCTGTAAAACAGCATCTCCTGTGTGTTTCTGATGGTCACTTGGTTTTGGATGGGAAAAGGGCTCGTGCTTAAGTGAACATCCGAAGCACTTCCAGTGTCCATATATTTTAATGTTGTCCTAAAATCCTGTCTGTTCCACAGGTTATAATATTATAATATTACATAAAGGCTGTAGCTGTGGACAATCTAGACTGTCCAGGCCACACTTGGCATCTCTAATCACATGGTAAAACTGTGCCAGTTCTCAGCAAATTGGCGTGGACAAGAGAGCCAGTTAAACTAAGGTCAGGCAGAGAGGGAATTCAGGGAAAGGGAGCTTGTCCAGAGTAGTCTGACATCTTCACACGTGCAGGAAAATACAAATTGTACTTGCATACTGTATCAGTACAAGGCTGACCCACAGAGACCTGGTGTGTGTGCTTGTGCTCTGGGATTCCTGTCTGAATCCTCGCCCTGATTGAGCTTCAGCCTGATTGTACAGAAGTGATTTTTTATTCAAATGCAACTTTTGTCAATGGTATTTTTTGATTTCTGTTCCCTTGTCTCCTTATGTCATTTAGCAGAAGGAAGTTTAGTTGCAAGGAAAGGGAAGGGGAAGAGAACTTTGCTGCTCTTCCATCTCAGTGCAGTATTTCTGTTCTAAGCCTGCAAAATGAAGCGTTAGAAAAGCAACTCAGCGGGGGAAACATTTCACTGGTTGTTTATACGCTCACACTGCCACTAAACAGAGCATGTAATGTACCTGTAAAATGAGCAGAAGCAGCCCAGTGTCCCCAGGCTTGTGCCAGTCTCAGTGAGAGCAGCAGCCTGGAGCAGAACTCTCCCACTTTTCCCCCTGGAAGGTGCACCGTGCCCACCGGATAGGCAGGGGGATCCCTGCAGACCTGGGGGTGGTGGCCATGCTGACACCGCTGTCTGTTCTTCTTTTGTCTCCTGCTCAGCTGAAGACGTGGAGCGTGGATGAGCTCCAGAGGAGGCTCTCGGCCCTGGACCCCATGATGGAGCAGGAGATTGAGGAGATCCGGCAGAAGTACCAGTCCAAGCGGCAGCCGATCCTCGACGCCATCGAAGCCAAGAAGCGGCGGCAGCAGAACTTCTGAGCCACGGGTAGAATGTTCTTCCAGCCCCATACAATCAACTCCTTGCTTTTATGACTACTGAACAGATTGTTTTCTATCGAAATACGCTAGCGAAATAGAGGGCAATACTTCTGCTCGTTTATTTTTCCATAGCACCTTTGTGAACTCAGGAATGCCGTGACCTGGAGGATCCTGGTGGTTGTGTTTTCATGTTAGGCAGGTATTTAACACATTATTGCAAAGGAGTTCTGTTACTGTTTTTAGGAGGATTGTTTTTAAACCAGAGGAACAGATAGGAATAGGCTAATGAAAGTTGGCTCACTCTCTTTTTCAGCTGAACTTTCAGGAGTCCATTTTGGTTTCAGTGAATTTGGATTGTGGTATTTAACGGCTGCATCTTTTGTGGGTTTCTTGGTTTTGTTTTTCTTTGTGAATGCACAGACTCAATTTCAAGCTGTTAACTGTCTCTACTGTTAAGGTACTGATAAGTTTTAGGTCACTGAAGAGAGCAGGTGAGAACTTGTACAAACTGTTCCAGCCTTTTGAAAGAAACTTAAATCTCAGTTTTTGAAAAGCCTGTAATAAGCCCCATGCCTTACACTGTGTGCTTTAAGCAAGTGTGGTTTCTTCAAGACCTCAGTTTTGTCTTCTTTTTGTGTCCTTTTTGAATTTATATGAGTACATAAAGCACGTTGTGCCTCCATAAGAAATTACGTTCTGTCATTTAAAATCCACACCCATTTAAACCAAAAGCCAGTCAGTGATCTGATTCCCCTTTGTCTGTCTGTCTGGAAATGTCCTTCAGGGAGACCCTGCTGACAATGAAGTGCTGAGGAAAGGAAACAGCACTTGAATGGGTGGAAGGAATACTCTCAGGAACTGGGTACTTCAGCTGTGTCTGAGAGGACTTAAAAAAATCTCCACAGCTTGTGAAATATTTTATAGGCTTCATTTCAAATTTACATCCTTAGACACTTGAATAAAAATTTGGTTTCACAATCCTTCACATTTCTGCAAGGTTTAGCACATCAGGAGAGTTGAACTGGAAGTAAAAACTGTTGAATTAACAAAGATGTGCATTTATGGTGGTGGAGCAAAAGTGGAGTTGATCTGGATGAGAAGACAACTACTGATGTCTTGCTGGAAGAGGTTCAGTCTCTTCCAGTTTCTCTGGATGCTCCTGTGTTGGTAGGTTGTATTTTTTTTTCATTTCCCTGCTGTTCCTGCCCAGTAAAGGTCAATCAGTGGCGATGCCCCAGCGTGTACAGTCGCTGTGGGGATGGTGCAATCAGCTCACACCAGAGAGGAGAGAGGAAAACAGAAGAAGCAAAGAACCTTTTTGCAGGGCAAAGACTGAGCAGTGCCTCTGCCCTGTGGGCTGTAACAGCAGAGCTGTGTAGTTTTAGATGTTCCCAGCATATGATGAATTGTTTGGACAGAGCAAGTATTTCTACCAATTTATTTTCATTTTGCTCTGATAGAGGGAACAGTTTCCCTGTTGATCTTCTGAAACAGGCTTTGGTACATCACCTAGATAATAAAACAGCAGTGTCTCCTGGATCAAGTGCTGCCAGAGAGGTGAAGTGTTCATTTCGTGCCTCTGTGGGCTCTTGTTTTCCCCTTAGAGCAGGCTCTTGGCTTTGCTAACAGGTCTGCTCCATAGCTGTGAAAGGAACCAAGCCATTCTTACCCTCTGCAGCTCTGGTTGCATCAGTTTGTCTCTGTTTGATGTGCATTGGGGTCATGGCAGTTTTGGAGATCAGCAAGCTGTCCCTAAGGAAAAGGGAGAGGCAGTAAGCAGTGTATGTAGGGGGGCTGAAGGAGGAGTACATCCTGGGATAACCAGCAATTTGATAGCCTCAGGTATTGGGAAACATCAGGGCTGCTCGTTGGAATCTGTGCAATACTCTTTGCCCTGGTCTTGTCTTTGTTATGAGCAATATCCATGAGCATCCTTTGCATCAAAGAAACTCCCCCAACTTAGGAGGGAGTTCTCTGCTCAGTGCTGAGTCTTGTATTAGTCACTGGGATGGATCTGGCCCAGCACCTCTGGTGTGATGGACACACAGACATGTGACATGGTAAACTGTGCACTGCCTGCGTGTGGCGTGGATCAAACGGGCTCTGCCGGGAGGAGTTTTACTTCTGCACTGTGTAGGTAACTTTGTAGTGATCAGAGGGCATTAGAACCCCAAGTTTTAGGTGAAACACCACGGGGTGGTGTCTACTTACAGAATATGCAACCTGTGACTTCTGTAACCGAATGTAAGCACTCTTGAAATACTCTGCTTTGCTGACGCGATTGTCTTAAAATATAGCAAATGAACCAAAATAAGTAGAACTGGTCCAATGGCTTAACTGTCTTTGAACCTTTCTTAAATGCTTGCAGTGGCTGAGACTTAATGATGTTTCTTGCACTTAGAGCTGTAATGCAGAGGAATTATTTTCTCTTCACTGATTTTCAATCTGTTAGAGAAAATATTTCCCTTTTTTGGTCCCTTTGTAGAGGGTCTGGAAGGACAGGACCTGTTCACTCCTCAGAGTGAACTCTTAGCACTCCAGACTAAGACCAAGGCTGGTGACATAAGGGAAGGCTGTTCTGACGAAGTTTTTAAGCAAAAAAACTTGTTTAATTGTGAAGCTACATTTGTGTGCTCCTTGAATCCATCTGCATTGCTGAAAGGGTTCTGGACAAACTGTTCTCTTTGCTTCTAAAACCCAGAGATACTGATGATGTCAGTCATGTGAGACTTACAAATGTGAAGTTTGTAGCTTTAACTTTTTTGTAACAAAGAAATTAGCGACACTGGCATAAACTGCTGACTTGAAATGCTATTTTGTAAGATCTGGCTGTTTGTATATAATAGTGTTCGGTCTTTAGTTTGTATATGTATGAAATAGTAACTTTTATTGCATTCCTCTCAGTTTGATACAGGAGATTTTATTTGATCTTTCTCAAATATCTTGCCTTATTTGTTCAAAGGGGCAAATAAACTGTCCCTACCTGAAAGCATCAGGTAGAGTCGTGACTCATGTTTGTGCATTAAAATACTTTGGTGTGTTATTGCTTATGAGGATGAGTTTTAACACGGTGTACCTCTAGTCAGCCAATGTTATGCAACATTCTGGAGGAGAGTACAAGCTTTCAGGAACACAGGCAGTAAACACATCAGATAAACATTTTGGAAAAGGCAGTTCCCCACGGTGGGGAGCACAGGCAGCCCTGCCTGGAGCCCCAGTCATGCAGGAGAGTCATTTGCCCCACGTTGTGCTCTGGCAAATGGGGATGCTGAACTCTGCTGTAGGTCCTTGCTGTCTCTGCAGCAGCTTCCCTGAGCCTGCAGTCAGGTTTGGGACTAGGTACATATCAATTTATCCACCTTCCTACACAACAGGTGAGGCTGGAGGCTCACTCCCAATTCTGGCTCACTTTGAGCTTTCTAGCTCAGAAAAAGATGAAGCTGACAGCGAGTGGGTGCTGCCTTCCAATGGTGAACTGTTGGCTTCGACGTGGTTTCCCTGAGCAGTTACTAAATCTGTCCTGGAGGGATGACTAACGGGAGCAGAGACAGAATTCATTCAGGAGTCAGCTTTGGTTAGCAGTCCCGGAAGAAACAAAGTAGATGTGAGCTTTTAAATGCTCGGAAGGAGCGTGGAAGTGAAAGGGAGGGAGGCTGCAGGCATTTCTAGTAACTGGGAAAGCCTGGAGCTCTCCCATATCCTCAGCAGTGTTACCAGGATATTGTGGAGCCCCAGAACAAAGGGAGGGTTGTGTTCCCAGTGCTGCCATACCAGGGGAGTGTTCATGTGCTGCAGCACTGCACCTGCTGCACAAATATTAACTGCATATAAGGAACAAAACCAACACTGACAGGTACCTGTGAGCTGGGACTGATGTTTAGCCAGGTTTTTCTCCCCAGTAAAGGGAAAAGTCAACTCTCCACTAAACCTGTAGAATCAGCAGTTATTAATAATAATCAATACTGAAGGACAGGGGCTGCTGTGCCAGTGTCCTGTATGCCCAGCTATTCATTTCCTACACCCTCATTTTGTCCCATTTCCTCCTGTGCACAGGCCAGAGGAGTCTGAGCTTGGATAAATGCTCTGAGCATTGGCTGACAGCCCTGCCTCGAGCGCTGACAGCTTTTCATTGCGCTAATCACTCTGGCAAAATTTTGAAGGGTCAAACCGGGAAACAACCATCTCTTTCTAGACTGAAAGTTAATTGTCCTTTAATTTAAGAGCCCAGGAAGGTAGCCAACGTGTTTATAAAGTTTAAAACAGTTCAGTTCCAGCTCTGAAGGACAGTCTGTTCTGCTCCCCTCTAGGTTGTCCCTGTTCAAATCAACAGAAGCAGAGGGAGCTCAGAGTCCCTGAGTCCCATCCTGAGTGGTGAGAGCAGCACAGCAGCCTCTTACCTCTGCACAGGCATCAGGTGGCTGAGCTGTGGGGTGGACTTTCCTCAGCCCGAGGGGCTCACAAGCTCTGGACCATCACTCCTTCAGCACAGAGGGGATGGTCTTGAAAAAGGCACGGGGCAGTTTTCCCCCTCTGCTCTCACCAGACTTGGTCTGGATGTGAACATGCAGATGATGTGAACATCACTGGTTTTGTGCCTCCCTGCACATCTGACCTGTGGTTTTCATTCCCTGAAATGGTGTGACCTGTCTAGGCATATTTGGTTAATTCAATTCCATGCCTTCAAGGCTGTTCTTTTGGCTTTCTCAGGCACTTAGAATGGAAGCTTTGAGACTGTGTGTTTCCTATAACTAAGCTAACAACTGTGGTTCAGATGAACCTCTACCAGGAGGAAGTGTTTTAGCGTTATTTTGTAAAACAAAAAAATAGAATTACTGCACTGTTTGTCTTTACTGCTCTCCTTACACAGTTCAGCAGATAGCAGTAACACTGATTTAACACGTCAAGCAGTGTGCTCAGGCACTAAGCTTGGATTTTTACTGAGGTCAGCAGGGCTGTAGGAACCTGTGAGCAGCAGAGATCCCAGAACGCTGTCAGTGAGGAGTCTTCCCTTCCTACAGATCAAACCCTTTAAAATCTCCTGAGTGCACAGAACAAGCTCAGGGTAGTCACGGTGCTTAGAGCTGGCAAAGGAAAAGAAGTTTCAAACAGAGGTAATGAAGTTTACTTTGTCTCTTTGAGGAGAGTTGTCTAATTCTCAGCTGCATTAAACAGCTTAATAAGGTCACTCCTTAATCACCATTCCCTGGAGGCAAGAGAGTCGTGCTTTCATCAATCATTTTGTGAATGTGGAAAGCAGCTTTGTAGGAATAACCTGATAAAGTGTGTAATTGATTTACCCACTGTACCAAATGAAAACGCAGCCACTCAGGAAAACTGATTAGGGATTAGCAAAAGAACCCGAGTTTCCTCCTTGCCTTAGAAATAGTAAGTCAGCCCCGTCCTGGCAGCCCCGTTGCTGCACAGACGTGTCTCTGCAGCGCGAGCGTGGGCTGTGATCACCCACTGCTGCTGGGCACCTTCCTGCACCCGGCTCTTCCCTGCTCTGCAGAACTCCAGCTCTGCTAGATCTGCCTGCACAGCAGTGGGAGGATTTTCCTAGTGCAGTTACTCAGAGCCATACAAATCCTAATGTCTTCAACAGAGTGCAGGAGGCTAAAAAAAGAAAACATCTCTCGTGGCTTTCCCAAACCCGAACTGGGAGCTCTTCTGCAGCAGCCCCTCCGAGAGCTGCTGCCCCAGGGGGGCCCGAAGGATGTCCTGCCTTGCTTACAGCCCCCAAGGCAGGGGAGCTTTTCCCTTGGAAAGATCAGCAGCTTGTAGATTTTTATTTTTTTAATGGAAAAGCTCTCAAAGGAATAGAGATTAAATTCTATTTTTACCCCTGGCTCCTGTCGCACCCAGCAGAGGAATGCACCTGACACAGGAAGAGCAGTGGTAAGTCCTGCCCTCCCCAGCCAGCCCTTGCAGAACAACAGCCTAGAGAGAGATACCCCGTTCATTTCAGAGCATCTGAGGCCACACCCAGCATCAGGATTCTCTCCCTCCCAGCTGTGATGCCTGGCTCTCTTGTGTGGCTTTTCCCAGAGCCCACCAGCTCCAACCCATCCCCTTGCACCCCAGGAATGCCCCTTCCTTGAGCCTCAAGGAGGTGGGTTATCCAAACTGCTCCAGCCAGGATGACACCAGTGGTCCAAGCATGAGGACAAGCTGTCACTCACCACCCAGAGCAGGGATGAGGTGGAATCTCCGCTGTGCTCCGAGGTGGTGCTGGAGCTGGCTGACAGGGACCTGCAGTGCTGTGGGAGCAGCTCCTGCTCACCCCAGCCTGCTGATCCAGCCCCAGCTCAGCCCATGGGCTGCATGAGCATGGGCACGTGCAGCTGCTACAAAACAGAAACCAGCATCCACAGCAGGTCACTGAGGTCTTTAATAAAATATACAGTATGCATCCCATGCATAGATATAAAATTAATTTACATGCTCCTAATTATTTGCATAATGCTTTTTCATTAATAGATGTAATTTACTCTTCACATTTTAATACATTTTGCTACTGGAATATTTATGGTGAGAAGGGGAAACTCCTTCCTTTTTTCAAGTAACAGTGCAGCAGGAGCCGGTCGGAGCGGACGGAGCCGCTCCCCAGTCCCAGCTCAGAGCAGGACTGAGCGCAGAGCAGACCACAAACCATCGATACTGGAAGACTTGATGATGCCAGAAGCGTGAACACCCTCTGATCCCACACCACAGGTCCTTGGGGACCCTCTCCGAGTCCCACTGGGGTTCAGAAAGGCTGGACCTGCACTGGCGTTGGTTTGGCTTTTCTCGCCCGTGATCAGCAGATCCAGCACCGGCAGCTGCGGCTGTGCCGACACCCAGCCAGGACAGCCAGCAGCAAACCCCGTGACCCAGGTACCTGGGGTCATCCTGCAGCCACCAACGTGGTTTTGAGCTGATTTGGGGATTGCAGGATGCACATTTCCCCTACTCAGAACAGGCGTTGCTGGGTGTGTTCCCCTGTGCACAACGGAGCTGCACAGTTTCCAAACAGAGAACCATGGGGGCAAGGAAAAACTCCATAGGGAATTAATGCTGTGCTGGGAGCAGCCCTGAATGTGCTCAGGTGGGCTGGGGGTCCAGGCAGGAGGGCAGTCTGATGCTCCAGGTGGACCTCCCTGCCCGGCTGTGAGGTGCTTGGTCACCGAGGAGCAGTGCAAGGTCTCCTCTGTCCCACGGACATGGGGGTGCCCCCTCCGGGCAGAGGGAAGGTGAGTGCATCATCCCCCGGGGAGCTGAGCTCCCTGGGGGACAGCGAGGACACCCAGGGCAGTGTGACCCCCCCACTCCTTACAGCCCTCCTGCCCCTGCCTGGCCCTGAGGCAAGGAGGGAAGAGGCAGAACGAAGCTAGGCTGGGGCTGTGGTGAGGGGGAACAGGCTGTGTGCCAAACCCAGCTGGCTTTGGTTGTGTCTCCTACCCCACCATGGCCTGCTGCAGGCCCTGGGCTCCCATGGCATAGGAGTGCCGTGGAGGGAAGGGCTTGTGGGGAGAGCCCCACTGGGGATGGCTCCTCAGTTCCCCCAGCTTGATCCCCTTCCTCTGCTCCTGCCTCAGAGGACAACGTCCCTTTGGCCTGGTCATCCCTGGCTGGTGCCCCCCTGCATGGGCAGTGCTCCTGGCTGTGCCATGCCCCAGCCCCAGATCCCCGGGGATCCCAGCAGTGGCAGTGCAGGCGAGCAGATAAGCCCCAGCTGGAAGGAAGGTGAAGTCCAGTCAACCCCACTGCAGGGACTGAGGACAGTGGGATTCACCCTGAGCTGACACCACCTCTCCCCTTATACAGACTCACTTCCAGCCCCCTTTCCTTTATGGCTGGGGGGCCAGTTGAGCCTTTTGAGGCTGTTTCCAGCAGGGGGTAGGACAAGGCTGGGGCTGGAGTTGATGCTGACCTGGCAGAGGACCTGCAAGGGCAGCCAACTTGGTCAGGGGCTGCCTCACCCTCGAGCTATTTAGCCTCACCCTGGACAACACACAACCTCCTGGCAGAGGGAAATCCCCCTCTACCCAGCTGGGGCAGTGCCTGGTAAGGGCTCACCTGTATTTCTTTTTTCTCCCTCCCCTTTTGGTGGGAGTATGTTCAGCACCACAGCCTCCATTTGCAGCCAGGGGGAGCAGGGTGAAGGCTAAAACACATCCAGGCAGACCCAGTCACCGCATCCCGGGGGCTGGAAGCAGCCAGCACCCACTGGGCATGTCCTCCAACCCCTGCTGTCCTTGGCAGGGCCGGGGCAATGCCAACTGTGGTGCAGGACAGGGAGAGCCCGGCTCCTCTGCCGTGTCCCAGTGCAGCAGCCGTGCCGTGCTCGCCGTGAGCAAGCAGGTCCTGCGGGCCCCAGCGCCACGGAGCGGTGGCTCAGGGGCTGGGGTGGGCACCGGGGGTCAGACCACGGCGGTCGGGGCTGCCTCTGTCCAGGGAGGTCTCGCTCAGGGCCTCCGAGTCCTCTCGGTCGCGGCTGGAGATGCTCTCCACCTCCTCGTGGTCCTTCTTCCCGCTGTTCCTCACGGCCGCCTCCAGCGCCTTCTGCTTGCGGTAGAAGTGAGAGAACTTGTTGAAGATGATGGTGATGGGCAGTGCCACGACCAGGATGCCCCCCAGGATGCAGCCCGAGGCAGCCAGCTTCCCCGCCACCGTGACGGGCACCACGTCGCCGTAGCCCACGGTGGTCATGCTGACCGTGCCCCACCACCAGCACGCTGGGATGGTGTCGAAGCCAACGTCTTCCTCCTTCTCGGCAGTGTAGGCCACTCCAGAGAAGACAGAGACCCCCACGGCCAGGTAGAGCAGCAGGATCCCCACCTCCCGGTAGCTGTGCTGGAAGGCAAAGCAGAGCAGTGGTCGGTGGGAGCCACCACACCCATCACCAGCCAGGACACTGGGATGCCACAGTGCAAATACAGCCCTGCACACCTCTGCGTGGATCTCAGCGCCCCTGCCCACCTCTGCCATGGGATGTCCCGCTGTAGGGACGGGCTGGGACACGCTGGGAGGTGTGTGGGTGACCCACACCTGGAGCGGGTGGTGCAGCTGGGAATCACTCCCGGCACCCACAGCCAGCTCTCTGCACTCCACCAGCCTGCAAGTGCCAGGAGGGAAGGCTGTGCTCTCCAGCCAGGGATACCCAGCACAGGCTGCTCCCCTGCCTCCAGCACTCACTCCAACAATATTTATCACATTTCCTTTTATCTTGGCAGGTCCCCAGAAACCACCTAATAGGCAGCCGCTAAGAGAAGCAATTTGTACCTTCCCGAGTCTCTGGCAGTGCTCTCAGGGAAGATGTGGCCTCTGCTGAGGCTCAGCTCAGCTCTCCCTGGGGACCCCACAGCCAGAGCCCCAGGGTCCTGGTCCCTGCTCTATCCCACCACCACTGGCAGTCTCAGCATCCATGGAACCCTTTGCTACACACATGCATGTATTACTGCAGAAACTGTTTTTTCTGAGATAATTACATTCCTTTCAGATTTTATTGCTCTTCCGTGGGAGACTCCAAGTGAACCTCAGAGCTGACATGGATCCAAGCGGCCCTGGTCATCTGGTCAGTGCAGGGATCCATCCAGTGTCAGCGTGGGCTGGTCTTAGCACCCATCCAACAGGGTGTTCCAATCCCCAGCTCGATGAGCCCCAGCCCGAGGGGTCTGGAAGCCCTGGTGGGAACAGAGCCAAGCTCTCAGGTGGGTGTGCAGGACCTGGGGGGACAGACTGACAGCAGAGGTGTGCAATGCTCCTTGAAGAAGCCATCATTCCTCTGGTTTCAAACTAAAACCTTTGTGCCACAGTCTTTCTTTAGATATTCTTAATATCTGAACAAAATATAAACCTGTGCCAGAAGCCCAGGGGGAAAAGGCAATGGGTAGTTGCAGGATGAGGTAGCAAGTCATGCCGGGAAGGGAACTTCCAGGGGACAGACTGCCAGCACCATCCTCCCAGCATGGTTTGTCCAAGCACTTTTTGACTGTCACAAGTGAATTTCTTGGATGTTTCTGCCCACTGATCTGCCAGCTTGCTCTTCATCGTTTCGGGAAAAGAAAGCAGAGCTTTGATCGTGGGGATTTTTTCCCAGTCTCCTAACAGGCAGAGAATGCTTTATTGGAGACCACGTAATGACTAAGGGAAACAATGTGAGCAAAGCAAACAGCACAGATGTGGGAAAAGGCTTCTGTGGTCAAGACAAGACCTAAGGGAGGAGGATTCATGTCAGGGACTGAGGAGACTTTGTTTAGACTGCTGGCAAAAGCTGCTCAGTTAAAGCCAGTAATACCGTGGGGAAATAACCACCACCTCCTCCTCTTCCTCCTCTTCTCTCACCTGATACGGGGCAAATGCCCTAGAGCAGCTCCGAGGGAGCCTCTCGAGGAGGACGAACAGCTCAGAGGTGCTGAGTTTTAAGGATGTATCACTTGGCCATGAAAGACCTGCTCCTGGCTGGAGCTTAACAGCAGGTCTGCACATCCCAGCTGGGCGGCAGCAGCACCAAATAACCTCATACATTTTTTAAAAGTATTGGTTCTGGCCCTGGGTTATGTTGGAGGGGAAAGGCAAAGGGGAAGTCAGGCAGCTCAATAGCTCCTGCTGCTTCAATTTACAAGCAGGGTCAGGGCTTGCAGCAAAAAGGAGGCTCCAGGAATCTCCCAGCTGGCACTGGCTGCCACCTATTTGCAGCCATTTATCTGCAAAACTTTATCTGCTCACTGATTGAGGGGGAAGGCAGCTGCAGCTGGGGTTCGGGTGGGATGCAGGTTTAGCAAGTAGCCAGCCCTGGCGAGGCGATGCTCAGTAACACAAGGCTCCAGGAAAAAGCTCCCCCAGCAGGAGTCTCTCCAGGGTCCTGCTGAATGCACGTCTTTCCTCCAGTACAGCACAAGACAATTGGAATGGAAGACCCCAGCCTGAGCCTGGCCAGAGATACCAGTGTGGAGACTGAGCAGAGATGGCCCATGGTAGCAGCAGCAGGGTGATGCATCTGCTGTCCAGGGTCATGCAGCTCCAGCTCTTCCAACCTGCTTGTGTATTTAGGCCCCTGAGGGGACAGACAGCAACTCCTGTAGATCCCTGCCGGTGCTGTAATTACCCAGGGCCCAACACCTATTGACGACCAGTGGGAGACAGACTCCAAACCCACACCCACGGAGCTGCAATAGTTTTAATGGACGTCCTGCACTGCAGAGAGGGAGAACAGAGACACGTAGGAAGCCTCTCTTCAAATTAAACAGACCCTGGATCAGGCCTCAAGCAATCTGAGGATGGTTCAGGGCTCATGATGCACAAATGGCAGAATTCCCTCTGCTAGCACTTTCGTGGCAGGGGAACAATCGCTCGGCTTGCCAGAGCCATCGCTCCCACTTCCTGGCTGTTAACAGCCTTTACCACTCCGCTCCCGATTCCTGCTCTTGCAATAGGAAGTAAATTATGATTAACAAGACGCTGTAATTTATGTGCCCAGTAAATCACAACGCCAAGCTGCTGCGTCAGATCTGTGTCTCCGCTCATCCCCATTTACAGCTGGCTCCGGAGTCCCCGGGAAGCGACGCTTTCCAGCGCGTCACTGGGTGAATCAGCCGCCCGGCAGCAGCCGGAGCCGGGACGCTGCCGACTCCCCGGATCTCATCTGCTGCTTAATAATATGCAGATGAGCCCCTGAGTCCCTGCTGTGCTGCAGCGTGTTGGTCACGCTCGGATGGAGCACGGACGTGTGCAGGTTTGTGCAGATTTCAGCGGCGCTTTGACACGGGTCTGTCACTTGTCAGCGCTCTTGCAAGGTGAGTGTTTGGGAGTTAGTACCCCACAGGTAGGACTTCAGGCACCTTCATTTCAAAGAACTCTCCCTGAACCCTGTTTTGAGGGTTTTGAGGATGCCAGGAATATTTTGATGATCTGTGGGCTCTGCAGGATTAGTGCTGGGCTGGGCTAATCCTGCTTCACAGCAGAAGCTGGCAGAAGACCTTTCCTGCTGCCCATCCTCAACACCAGTCACACTCGAGGTTTGCTTTTCTCCATGACTCAGCCACAGGAATGGGACCAACCCCGGCAGCCGAGTCCTGCTGATACCAGGACACTCCATGCTGGCTCTGCCACTGCTGCAGCAGTGAAAGCAGGGTGTCCCCAGCCACTCATCCCTATGATGGCCCTGCAGAGGCAGCAGCACCAGGAGCTGCAGCTCTGTCCCATGCCAGGCAGTGGGATGAGAGCGTCCCTTTGGTTGAATTTCAGGCTCTGTTAGGAGCAGAACCACGTGGAGGCTGGTCTGTGCCACCCTGCTGAGCTGCAGTGATGGGGGTCTGGCTGCAGCACCAGGATGGTGATGATCTCATGACAGATTTCAAGCTGCCTTTGGTCTTTCTAAAGAGGCTGGGGTGCTGTGGAGGGGGTCTGGAGAAACACAGCCTTGGGGCATGTTATGGAGGATGTGCACCCTCTCACCAAACCTGCAGGGCTGCCACCTCCCAGCATGCCTGAGTCCTGGTCCTTCACTGTCTCACCATCTCCTCATCCAGCCCTTCCTTCCAAGGACAGTGTGGTCCTGGGACCAGCTTTCCCCAGCCCTACAGGCAGAGTTTTCCATCACACTGAGGGGCAGCTGCTGGTAGCTCAGGCTCTGCTGAGGGCTCTGTGCTGAGGGCACAGACTCTGCCTGGGGCTGGTTGTCCAGGGCCCTACAGCTCACCCCTTGCTTTCCTATTGCTGCTTTGTGCCACACATGGTTACACATGAGCCAGTCCCAACCTCAATCTGGGAGCATTCAAGTGTCAGCTCACCTGGACCAGGATCTCTGTGTCTCCCTAGATGGGCAGACACCAAAGGTCAGCTGGCAGCCTGGTCTTAGGAGGTTCCCCCTTCTCCCAGACTAGGGATAGGAGCAGCTCTGACCCACAACAACTGGTGCTGGCAGATCCAGCAGCTGCTGCCTGGCCTGGTGCCTGCTCAGCAGGTCGTTTACTGCCCAACTAGGCACAGACTCGCTTCTTGTGGGACATCCCCATCCACCCACACATGGCTGAGTCCATTCCAGTGCTGTGCAATGAGGCCTTCACGCCACGGTGGGATGGCTGAGTCCCTGGAAGCACATTTCTGCATGGAGCAAAACAGGGTGGATGGGTGTTCGTGCTGAGCCTGTGTGAGGAGAGGACACGTGCAGTGCTCCTCACACTTGTTTGCTTTACCAGACACACCAACAGCCCAGCCCACCCCCCCAAGGAAGCTTGCCAGGCACCACCCAGAGGTCTCCTTACCCAGAGACTAAAGGAGTAGATAAGGAGATAGCCAGTTTACCTTCAAGGTGGCCCCCAGTGACCTCAGTCCAGTGGAGTGCCGAGCCAGCTTCAGCACTCGGAATATCCTCATGAGACGGAAGACCTGCACGACCTTGCCCAGATTGCCCAGCTCTGAGTCACTGCCCATGGTCACGTCCACCAGGAGGGTGAAGTAGAAGGGCAGCACCGAGACAATGTCAATCAGGTTCAGCGGGTGCTTGAAGAACTTCCTGGGGTTGGGGGAGAGCAGGAGGCGGGAAGACACTTCGAAGGTGAACCAGGAGATGCAGAAATACTCCAGCTTGTGCAGAATGGGCTCATCGAGCACATTGCCATTCTCGTCCACCTCCTGGTACTCGGGCATGCTGTGGATGCACATGGTGGCTATGGAAACCAGCACCACGCTGATGGACACGAAGCTGAAGAGTTTGCTGGGGATGGAGTAGCCGGGGTTCTCCATGGTGAGCCAGAGCCGCTTGCGCGCGTTGCCGCAGCGCAGGGTGCTGTACCGCAGCAGGTCGTGGTTGATGTCAGAGATCTCATCGGGGGACGTGTCCACGCTGCTGACCTCGCTCTCCTCATCCCAGTTGTGGTGCCGGCTCTCCAGCTTGCGCTCGTGGTAGCGGTAGCTGCAGCAGGAGTCCAGGAAGAACTCGTTGATGCCCCAGTACTCGATCTCCTGGCAGAAGGAGAAGACGCACAGCTCCTCCATGACGTGCAGCTTCCCCGTCTGGTAGAAGTGGAGGACATAGAGGAAGAAGCCGGGGTTTCTGTCGAAGTAGAACTCCCTGGCGCTCACGTCGTAGTCATCGCAGAGCTGCAGGATGGACTCCTCCGAGTCGCAGGACAGCAGGCGCCCCAGGCGCGTGTCGGGGAACTTGGAGAGGGCACTGGAGCTGAGCCGCCTCCTCAGACCCCCCACGTTGATGTTGATAACGTCCTCCTCAAAACTGGGACCCCAGTAACTTAAGGTCTTGTTGACCATGATCAGCAGAGCAGGAGCTGGTTCCACCTGTGGAGGAGACAGCGGGGCTGGAGGGGATGCAGGGCTCCCCCCGGTCTGGGTGCTCCTGGGTGAGGCGGGGCCAGAAGCACCCTGGGGAGTGGGGAGGGATGTCTGAATTTTGAAAAGTGAGGACCGAGGGGAAGAGAGGGGAGGGGAGAGAAACAGCTTTAAACAGTTGTTCTTCTGTGGTGTGGAAGCTAAAAAAAAAAAAAAAAAAAAAAGCCAGTGATTTTTCCAGGTGAAACTTTTCCTTGCTTTGTTTACCTCTTAAAGTTTCTCCCTTTGCAGGTCGTTAATGCCTAAAGAAGGCAGTTTACTGCACCTCCGGCACCTCCTCCATGGGGCTCTCCTTGTTCAAACAGGTAATTAGTCACTGAAGAGAGAATTTATCCCCCAAAGAGCATCCCTGTGGAAAAATTAGATCTCATCAAATCACCGCTGCTGTGATTCTGCCAAAGTGCTTTGTAGCCCCACTACCTATGCTGCTAATTAGACCCGGTCAAAAAGTCCTCAGATGGTGCAATTCTCCCAGCAGCACAGGCAGTTTTGCCAAAATCAAAGTATTGTCAGAGAAGGTGTCAGTTTTAGGGAGAATTTCAGAGGAAGAAGTGTCAAAACAATTCAACCGCCTGTTTTGTTTCCTCCTGTGTGTTCTGTCATGTAAAATACTAATATTATTTTTATAATGTTGAAACATAACAAAAGCATTATTCAGAATCATCGATGACTGTATGTCAGTGGGGAAATAAAAGCGCAAAGTTTTGATTTCTGCTGTGTTTTAGGAATTTATAAGTTTCAGGGAGCTGGGCTTTTCCATGCAGCAGAAATTCCATTTTCTAATGAGAAGCAGTTAAAGCATTTAAGAAAGAGAAGCATTCCCACACCTTCAGATGCATTCACCTGTCTTGACTAGGAGCAAAAAAAGGCAAATAAAAGGTTTGTGATCTTTCTGCATCACCTTGAAATCAGATTTTTTTCACCTTTCTTATTCATCAGAACACCTGGGGATGCACAGAGCAGCCCTGTATTCCTGGGGTCCCCCTGCTCCTGGCATGGGGTGGTGGGTGTTGAGGGACACTGCTTTGCTCTCTTGGTTGAGGAATTACATTTTTCCTGCCTTGTGTCACCCACAGAATTTTTCAAACTTTTAGAGACAGGTAACGGGGTAGTGGTTAAACCCCAGAGGTTTGTTTTTAAGCAGAGCGGGGCTGTGGGTGCAGCAAATGCCAGATTTGTGTGAAATAGCCTGGCAGAGGTATCTGCTACCTCCACTGCACCTCCCAGCCAGGGCTCCTTAAAGACACAGCTTTGCACCACAACGCCGGAGCTTCCATTACACCACGTCTGGAGGAGGCAACCGGCTAGTGATAAACCTCAGAGCTTAATGGACTCATTGTCTTGAAAGGGGAGGGAAGAAGGAGAAGGATCAGCTCTTTCAATGCTTAAGAAAAAAGCAAGGGAGAAAAAGGGATGTAAACACTCTTTTTCAGGGATAAACTGGAATTTCAGTGACAGATTAGCTTTTCCAAAGAAGACATCACACAGCCCATCTGTGGGGTGTGGATGACTAATCCAGCTTCCTTCCAGAAGGATGCTCATGCATTCAGGCTACAAACACACACAGACAGGGCCCTGGGGGTGCCTCTGTGGGATCCAGCTTGTCCCCAAACCAGCCTCAGACTCTCCCCACTCTCCCTATAGAGCAGCCACTCTGTGAGGTCAGGCCAAATGCCACCAAAATCAAAGGCAAGGTGTTTTTGAGGCCCAGGGCAGCCCAGGACAGCAGGATAAGCCCAGAGCGATGCTCCAGCTCAGCAGGAGCATCCCCAGTGCACAGCTGTGGCTCTGGGTGAGCCCTGCCAAACCCTGGGGGCCAGGAGGGAGCTGGCTCCCACATCTCTCCCAGCTCAAAAGAAAAAGGTGCGTGTCAGGACCCTGCAAGCCTTTGTACTCCAGGGAAATCCCTCCATTGCTCCTGTGCCAGAAGCAGAGTGAGGAGAAGGGTCACGAACCACCACAGACGCTCCTTTCTGATGTTCACTTCTGAATAGAACAAATTATTTCTGCCCACATACAGCTTTCATCTAGGAACCTAAAGCAGCAATTAATAGTTTTATAACTCTGTTGCCTACTTGTTTCACAACCAGATAAGCTCAGCTTTAGAACAAAACTAGGGTTTGAACTGAGACGGGGCGTGATGTCCCCCGTTGGATCACCAAAGTGTGCTCCCCACTCACATTTGCAGGGCTGTCAGGTGGGAAACAGAAGCTCACATTAGGAAGGTTGGCTGATTTTTGTTTTTAAAACACAACAGAGAGAGAATACAAATGTGTCTGTCTGGAATAAAGTGAATTTGCAAAATTTTCCTTTAGTTAACCCAGAATTTCCACGAATTATTTGAAAAATGGAACAGATAAAGCCAGTCTCTCTCTGATAAATGTTGAAATGTATTGTAAGCTATTTTGAGACAACCATCAGAATTACACAAGCCCAGTGTGAGCTGGGTGTTGGGCATTCAATTGAATATCTGTGTTGTGGAGAAGAAAAATATCTGATACATGCATTTCTGACAGTAAAAAAAAAATATAAAAACAGATCAAGCATATCTATAAGAAATGCTGGAAGAGTTTCCCTTGACAACATATTTTTTTTCTCAAAGGCTTTCAAATGGAAGTTATGTATATCTATTCTACCTGTCAGAGGGGACCCAAGGGAGTGGGAAGGAAGGTGCTAATAGACATTCAAGCGAGGAGGCAGCAAGTGCAGGGAGTATTGCACACAGGGGCTTTTCCAGCCAGGTACAATGGATTTAGATTAACAGTTCAAATAAAAAACCCTGTACTTACAGCTCAGTGAGGCTTCCCAGCAGGGAGTCGTGTGGCTCGTCTCAGAGGAATCATTAGAAATTCGTAGAGGAGGAGGAATCCTTTATCCTTTGCCCTGTAGCCCAGACCTAAATGCCTTGTCAGCCCGGGCTTGTGACTCTGCACGTCCCAGGTGTGCCAGGGTGGTGGCTGTAAACCACTGAGGAGATCCTGTGCGGGATGTCCATGGGGCCGGGGTGGGGCCGGGGGTCCCCTGCTGGGTACCTGAGGGGGCGCTGGGGCTGGGTGACCTCCCAACTCCTGCAGGGTGGTGTCCCTATGCGCTGGGTCATCCAAAATTGCCCCTGCAGAGCCCCGTCCCCGTCTCTGAGCGTCCCTGCACGCATCAGCCTGAATATGCTCAAGACCAAGCCTTGAGCGGTGGGGGGTTTGCCAGGCGGGCAGTGGGGAGGATGGAAAGGGGATTCCCACTGCTGGCTGCTCCCTGCAGGCAGAGCGTAAGCTGCTGCTGTACGATGAGAGGCCACCAAAATGCCCAGGGCTGGGGATGGAAATGACGGGGGGACTCCCCACTCTCCTCAGGGTGCAGGAGGGGGTGATTACCAACAGCTCGGCTGTCTGCTGCCAGCGGGCAGCCCAGCGCCGGCTGCAGATGATCCCTGCCCTGTGCCAGCCTCCGCTCCCAGGTCTCACGCAGCGGGTGCACAGCTCTCCGGAGGGAATCCCGCACCACGCTCCGTTCCGTGGGGAGGGAGAGATGCAGCTCCGGGGAGACGGGCTCCCCTACACCCGTCCGCAGAGGGACGTGGAGTGTCCCTGCGCCCTGGGTCCCAGCAGCATCCCGGGATGTGGGTGTTGGCACGGCGGCTCCCCGCTTACCCCGGGATGTCAGTGCCTCGCTTCCCCGCTCATCCCTGCGTGCCGCTGCTCCAGGTGCCCTCTCACCCCGGTATGCCGGTGCCCCGGGTCCCCGCCGCGCCCCAGGGTGCCGATCCCTGCGATGCCCGGGGATGCTGGCACGCCGGTTCCCGGGATGCCGGTGCCCCGGTCCCCGTGTTACCGATCTCACGGTCCTCGCCGCGCCCCGGGATGCCAGCTCCGCGGGTCCCCCGCCCCGCCCTGGGGATGCCGCTGCCCTCGCCCCCGCCCGCCCCGGGTGCCGGTGCCGCGGTGCCCGCAGCTCCCCGGTGGCGGAGCCCGGCCCGCGCCGCCGCTCACCTGCCTCGGCGCCGCCCCCGCCGCAGCGAGCGCGCCCGGCGCGGAGCTCGGAGCCCTGCGGGGCCGGCGGCGGCGGCAGAGGCTCCGCGGGGCCCGGGGGGGTCCCGCCCGCCGCCCCTCCCGGGTGCCGCCCCCCGCCCGCCCGCCGGCACCGCGGCGCGGGAGCAGCGGGGGCGATCCCGGTCCCCGACTCCCGGTTCCCAGCCCCCGGTCCCGGATCGCCGCTGCACGACGCCCGGCTGCCTCTGCCGCGGTCCCCCCCGTTCCTCCGGGGCGGCCCCGACATCTGCGCAGGGCAGAGGGCTGGGGATACCCGGAGGAGCCCACCCGGACCACAAGACCGGGTACCTGATTTTGGCGAAACCGACCGGCATTTCGGCACAGCTCCGCTCCGGGCACCGCCGCGGCTCTCACGCGGAGCCGAGCCGGGAATCTGGACCGGGCGTGGGTACCCCTGCCTGTCCCGATGTCTTACCTACTGGAAGTCCTTGGCAGCCGGGAGAGCTCACGGGATGGCTGTGGGGGCCGCGGTGGGGGTTCCGGCCTCACGCGGCCCTGGGCTACCCCGGTTCTTCGCGAAGCTGCCCAAGTGGCGAGCGCTGCCCTTGGGGCCGAGCCCCCGGAGCTGGGGAGTCCCGGGCGGTCCCGTGCCGAGGGCGTTCAGGCCGAGCAGGGCCCCAGCAGCGGTGCCGCCCTGTGCCGGGCAGGCGATACCCCCCTGCCCTCGCAGTCTCCCTCCATGCGATCCAGCTCCATCTTGCTCCTTGGAATGGGCGGTGTGTAGGGCACCGGGGCAGCCCCCCGGGGAAGAGCCTCCCTGGCTTGTTGAGCTCCCCAGTGTCTCTTTAAAAGCTCATTGGGAGGTGAGTGAAAGCGGCGAGTCCCGGGCATGGCACACGCTGGGTTTCAGGTCAGCGAGCTGCCGCCGCTGCCCGGGGCCATCCCCAGACAGCCTGGGGAGCGCTGCAAACACACCAACTCCCCCAGAAGTCAGCTGCTGGAGCAGAGAAACGGGAAGGAGAGGATGGGAAAGAGACCTTCCCGGGCTGACGGCCGGGGCTGCGTGTCCCCGCAGCGATGGCTCATCGCTCCGGCAGCCGGCACAGAGCAGCTGTGTCAGGCAGGCGGCTCGCACCGGGGCGAGACTTCACACCACCCTCTGCATCCGATCATCGGCTCGCTCATTCCAGTCCGAGGGGCTGGAGCCTGAGGGCTCTCAACCTTCTTCGGGCTTGCACGAGGCGGACTGAGAGCTCTTTTTAGTGGCGAGCATCCTCCCCCCTGCCCGCACGCCCTCCTCCTGCGTGTGCTGCCAGCCCTGTCCCTGTGCCAGGCAGCGCTGGCCGCTGCAGGGCCATCAGCGTGTCTCCATGTGTGTGATGTGTCAGACTGTGTGTGTCTGTGCTTGTTTACATGGGAAGGAGGCAGCGGAGGGAGGGGGAAGGGATGACTTTGAGGGAGGCCTCAGAAAAGAAACAAAAAAAAAAAAAAGAAAAGAAAAAAAGGGAAATTCCTCTGTTCTGTGATATGAAGCAAAAAGCATTTATATTTATGGCAATTAGGGATGGCTGAGCATCCCTGGAAGCTGCAAGATAAACATGCCCATCTTTGTCTGCTCCAGGCAGATGCAAGCCTGGCTGACAGTGGGTGCTGAGCCCCAGCGGGGTGCAGCCCACAGGGTGGGAGGAGGGCTGGCTCCCACGTGGGGTTTTCTCCGCCTGTCACTGACATACGGTGATCAGGGTGAATTTTCTTTTCCCTTCTGAAAATAGTTCTCATCCAGCCATTTTTCAGGGAAGGAGCTGTGCCTGGCGCTGCAAGGGCGCCCACTCCATCCGGCACTTTGTGTCTGCACCAGAGCCCCATTTATGCTCTGCCACAGAGTAACCTGAGCCCTGTCCCCCAAAATCAGCTCTCCCAGCACCAGGAGGTTTGCTGAGCTTCCCTGGGCTGTGTGGAGGAACTGTAGTTTGAGTGGGAAGCAAGGTAGGGAGTTGTTGGGGCTATGCCCCTACTGCCCTCAGGCTGGAAGGATCACTCTGGGAAGAAGGAGGGGAGATACCTCCATGTCTCCTGCTGCAGGTCAAAGCTCTGGCTGGAAGCAGCTGCAGAAGATGGAAGTTCACCTCCCTGGCTGCAGAGGCCCTGTGCAGGTTCTTGCTTGGCATCACGGAATCCTTCAGAGGGGACTTGGCTGCAGTATCAATGGCACCTGAGGTGAATTTTCCCTTTTCTGCACAAACTCTGAGGCAAAAAGCCCGACTCTGCCATGAGCTGACCAGAGCTTGTTGGCCTGACTTTGCACTGACACTGGCAAGCTGTGGCAGGAAAGGAAGACTCACATTTTAAGGCCCTTTCCCAGCAAATTGAGGTGTAAGGGCCCTTCCTCAGCCCTTCCTCAGCACAGGGTTTGCCACTGCCCTGGGAGGGCGCAGTTCCCCGTGGCACTGGCCAGCCCCGTGCCCCCACCGCCACTCCTGAGCTAACTGGTAGTGATGTGGAGATGGGAACAAGCAGAAAATCAGGTCAGCTGGAAACGCCTCGCCATCTCTTCCTTTCATGTCTCCCCCCATCTTCCTCTCTTGAGGAAGGCAGGTCTCCGCCCGCCCGCAGCCCGGGGCGGATCTTGTCGATAACCACACGGCCAATCCTCCACGCGGGGATGGGGGCGAAACCTCTCGCCGTGGTCCCTCCTGCAGTCTGGAAGAGAATCTCAGAGGCAGGGTGAGGCTGAAGCCAGCAGCCATTTCAGTGCTGCAGTGAGTCATCCTGAAAGGCGCTCAGCTTGTGGCAGCTCCCTTCCTTTCTTCTTTCTGCCTTTTTTTTTTTTTTTAAATAGCTGATATAGCAATAAATTAAAAAATAGCGGAAAATATATATGAATGTAGCATGTCTGCAGAGCCCCTTTAATTAAAGGAAAAAAAAAATCTTCAAGCAGTTTTCAGCCCCTTGGATATCTCTCGAGAAGGCCGGAGCCGCTGGGTACCTGCCACGTGGGAGGGTGGATAGAGCAGCTCACCTGCAAGGGGGATCCGTGGAGCCAGCGGCTGACGGGGGCTGATTAATGCTGGGGACATGAGCACAAAGCATTGCACAAATAGTCCTTTCCAGAGGGAAAGAGCTAAATTAGGGCAGATGCAAAAGCCTGGTCTTGTGTTTCTCAGTGGCAAAGACTTTAATACTAAATACATGGGCTTTCCCTAACAGTCTTTTTCCCCGGTGGTTTCTGTGCTCGCTGGTGTGTTTATCCCCCGAGCTCTGGGAGGGGGTTGCTCCAGCTGGAGGGGTTTGGGCTTCTCCTTCCCATGCCATTGGCTACTCCCACTCCTGTGCCATCAGCTGTCCCTGTTCCCATGCCTCTCTCTGGAGCCAGCCCATGGGGTGCCGGGGAGAGAAAGCCGAGCTGTGATGGCAGCATCCTCCAAGCAGGAGGAGAAGACTGGGGACACAAACTCTGGGGGATCCCATCCCTACAACCCCCATCTTCCTCCCAGAACCACAGGGTGCCTGTAGGTGCTGCTGACAGGGGAATATCAGCCTGCTTCATGCTGGAAATTATTTAACCAGCCTCATTCATTCTCCGGAGCCCTTGGATCCACCTGCACATCCAGCCCCCTGCAGTAAGGTGACTCATTGCCATCCATAGGATAGGCTTGTGGAGCATGGCCTGCAACAGCCCATGCCTCTGACAGCCTGCAGCTCTCCTGGACTGGAGTTTTAGTGAGCCCACTGGGTGCCTGAGCCAGGAAAGATTAATGAACATTCCTGAAGTTGCTGGAGACCTTGGCTTGGGGTTGGACTCTGAAGCTGTAACTGGAAACATGAGGAAATCTGGAAAGTCGTACCGCAGTGGAGGCTATTTTTTATATAGATGGAGAGCCTCCGGAGAGGGAGCAGGGAGATGCTGCAGTGTAAGGTCAGCCACTTCAGAGCAGTGATTTACTACCTGGAGGGCTCCCACGTGCCTCGAGCATATGCATTGCCTCCATCTTACAGCAACTTGCAATCTCCAGGTGCTGTGTCCCTTCCCTCCGCTCTCTCTCTGCCCGAGGTTGTTTCACTGTCCTCCAACACCCAGGACACAAACCCAAAATTGAATTCAACAAAACCAAGGGCCATTCCCAGACTCATCATTAATCTGCTGGAACGTCTCAGGCCAGGGCTTCCCATGGGCCAGGCAGCCCTTTCCAGACCATTCCCAGCAGGGCTAGGAGCTGTCACAGGCAGGGGTGCTGGCAGAAGAGCAGCGTGGTGTCAGAGGAAAGGTTAATAGCAGGACTTGCTCTGTTCCCTGACACCCAGCTTTGGTGCCAGAGTCAGCCCAGGGACATTTCATTTACCAGTAGAGAGAAAGCCACAAGAAACAATCATCATACCCACACTTGCACAGGCAGCACGGGCTCACTTCTTGCTTTCTCTGCCAGGAGAGAGACACATGAAGATGGAGCACAACTTTAATTGTAATTAAATCTTACAATATTGCAGGTTGAATCATGTGGGTAACCAAGAGTGCAGCGAGCTTTGACTCTCCACAGGCTCGTGCAGGGCAGACACTTGCCCTGCATTTTGCTTTTGATGGATGTGCACAGCCACGGCCACGGAGGGAGCGGGTGGTGGCCTCTCATTCCTGCTGGCGTGTCCAGGCAGGATGGAGCAGTAATTAACAGGGGAGGGCAAGGATAAAGGGAGATGCCATTTCCCTGAGACTGATCTGATCCTGTGGATAATTTCATCCTACAGCAAATCCAGGTGAGGGCCTGGCACTGGTGGAAGCAGGGCAGCAAACCTGCCTTGAGGCTTTGCTTCTCTACCAGAGATATGGAGAAGGAGTGGCCAATGGATTTGAGGCCCTTCAGTCCCTGCCCAGCTG